TCTTCCCCCACTTGTAAAATAAAACTTGACTTCTCCATTATCCCAGGTCATAAGACTTATAGTCATTATTCTTTCATTTGCTTATTCAGCAAAAAATTATTGAACACTTACTAAGTGGAACACAGTGTCCTATGCAACTGTACATGATGGAAAAAAATAAAGATCCTTAGACTCTTAATAATTTCAATCAAGAGGAAGAATGACAACTATACAGTACACATATTCATAAGCAGTTTAAATAGTATCTCAATGGTGACATATTCCGGGCAAACTAAAATGGAACTGGGTGGAGCAGATTGAAATGAGAATAGCAAGTTGTAATATTACGTGGAAAGGTTAAGGTAGGTATATTCTGGAAGGTAAGGTTACTCATACACTTGAAGGTGAGACAGTTTACCTGAGTCAAGATAGTTGAGAGAAGAGTGTTCTGAGAAGGGGAACACTAAGAAAAGAAGCTAAAGCACTAACCTCCTTGCTGTCTCTGAGAAAAAGCATGAAAACTAATATGTTTGGAACAGGGTAATCAATAAAAGAAAATCAAAGAGGTAACAGAAAAACAGATCCTGAAAGGCCTTTCAGGTCCTTGTAACCACTCTGGTCTGTTATTCTAAGTGAAATAGAAAATAATACAAAGTTTGGTTAAATATTTGCCACTAAATATCTTAATTTTTAAAAAGATCACTGTGGCTATTCTCCCAACAATAAACATGGGAAGAGGGAGGTGGGCAAGAGTGGAAACAAAAAGATCTATTAAAGGACGTTTGCATTAACTCTTGGGATAAATGGTGATGGTTTCAACCAGAGTGACAGCAGTGAAGATAATGTACAGTGGTTAAATTTGTGATATCTTTCTCTTTTTTTCAACTTTTATTTTAGATTTGGGAGCACATGTGCAGGCTTGTTACCTGGGCACATTGTGTGAAGTTGAAGTTGGGTGTAAGAATGATCCCATCACCCCGGCACTAAAATAACCCAACAGTCTTTCAACCCTTGCTTCTCTCTCTCTCTCTCCCTCCTTCCTCTAGTAGTGCCCAGCGTCTGTTGTTGCCATCTTTATGTCCATGAGTGCCCAGTGTTGAGCTCCCACTTATAAATGAGAACATTAAGAATTTGGTTTTCTCATTCTCATTAATTCACTTAGGATAATGGCCTCCAGATGCATCTATCCTGCTGCAAAGGACATGGTTTTCTTCCTTTTTTAAAATAGATTCATAGTATTCCATGTTGAATAAGTACTACATTTTGTTTATCTAGTCCACCATTGATGGGCGCCTATGTTGAGTTTGTATCTTTGCTGTTGTGAATAGTGCTGAAATGAACATGTAAGTGCTTATGTCTTTTCAGTGGAACAATTTATGTGCTTTTGTATATATACACAGTAATGGGATTGCTGGTTCAAATGGTAGTTCTACGTTCTTTGAGAAATCTCCACACTGCTTTCCACAGTGGCTGAACTAATTTGCATTCCCACCAGGAGTGTGTAAGCATTCTTTTTTTCTCAGCAGCCTCACCAACATCTGTTGTTTTTTGACTTTTTAATAATAGCCATTCGTACTGGTATGTGAGGATATCTCATGGTTTTGATGTGCATTTCTCTGATGATCAGTTTTTCTCTGATATTGGGTATTTTTTCATGTTTCTTGGACTTTGGGATGTCTTCTTTTGAGAAGTGTTTGTTTATGTCTTTTGTGTTTTTTTTTTTTTTTTTTGCAAATATTTTCTCCCATTCTGTAGGATATTTGTTTACAATGTTGATAGTTTCTTTTGCTATGCAGAGGCTCTTTAGTTTAATTAGGTCCCACTTGTCAATTTTTTATTTTATTGCAATTGCTTTTGAGGTCCTAGTCATAAATTCTTTCCCAAGGCTAATGTCCAAAATGATGTTCCCTAGATTATTTTCTAAAATTCTTGTAATTTGAGGTGTTAAATTTAAATTTTTATAGATTTGGGATATATTTCTTTCATACGTCACAACAAATTCATCATCTCTCCTCTAAATTCTGTTCAAATCTATATCCAGAATCCAACATTACCTTCATTACTGCCAACTTGATCCAAGCCACTGCTAGCCTGTGTCTGAATGAATATAATAACCTCTAATCTGGTTTAGCATCTTCCCATTTCCACACACCTCTCACTCAAGTCACCACAAAATTAAAGTAATGCTTTAATTGTCAATCAAGTCATGTATTTTCTCTTCTCAACACCTCCATGAACTTCCCATGAGATTTAAAGTAAAAGCCAAAGTCCATAAAATGAACAACAGGGAGACGTCCACATTCTGATTTATCCTTTATTGCTTTAGCCTCTTGTCCTGTCACGCTCCCATTTGTAGTTTCTACTCCAGTCATCTCTGGCCTACTTTAGGATATTTGTAATCAGTGTTTTCTCTATCTACATATCTCTTCCACAGATGTCTGCATAGTTAAATTTCTGTCTTGTTTCTTTTTGTTCTTCTATCAAATGTCATTTGAAACTAAGAAGGAAAGGGACCAGGCCTGGTGGCTCACACCTATAATCCTAGCACTTTGGGTAGGTGGATCACTTGAAGGCAGGTTTTGAGACCAGCCTGGCCAACATGGCAAAAACTCATCTCTACTAAAAATACAAAAATTGGCCGGGCATGGTCGAGGAGGCACCTGTAATTCCTGCTACTGTAGCTGAGGCAGGAAAATCGCTTGAACCCAGAAGGCAGAGGTTATAGTGAGCTAAGAT